ATATTTTCATCTATTATTCTTTCTTTATACTTTCATTTATTATACTTTTCTTTATAATTTGATCTATTATTCTTTCTTTATACTTTCGTCTATTATTCTTTCTTTATATTTTTCATCTATTATTCTTTCTTTTTATACTTCCATCTATTATTCTTCTTTTATATTTTCATCTACTATTCTTTTCTTTATATTTTCATCTATTATTCTTTTTTTATAGTTTCATCTACTATACTTTCTTCATAATTTGATCTATTATTTTCTTTTCTTTTAATCTACTATTCTTTCTTTTATACTTTCATCTATTATTCTTTTCTTTATATTTTCATCTACTATTCTTTCTTTTATATTTTCATCTATTATTCTTTTTTATATTTTCATCCTATTATTCTTTCTTTATAGTTTGATCTATTCTTTTCTTTATATTTTTCATCTATTATTCTTTCTTTATATTTTTCTTTTCTTTATTTTATTACTATTCTTTCTTTATATTTCATTTATTATTCTTTCTTTTATAATTTCATCTATTATTCTTTCTTTATACTTTTCATCTATTATTCTTTCTTTATATTTTCATCTATTATTCTTTCTTTTATATTTTCATCTATTATTTTTCTTTCTTTATAATTTCATCTATTATTCTTTTGTTTTATATTTTCATTTATTATTCTTTTCTTTTTATAATTTGATCTATTATTCTTTCTTTATATTTTAATCTATTATTCTTTCTTTATATTTCATCTATTATTCTTTCTTTATATTTTCATTATTATTCTTTCTTTATAATTTGATTTATTATTCTTTCTTTATAATTTCATCTATTATTCTTTTCTTTATACTTTCATCTATTATTCTTTCTTTATAATTTCATCTATTATTCTTTCTTTTATACTTTCATTTATTATTCTTTTCTTTATATTTTCATTTATTATTCTTTTCTTTATATTTTCATTATTATTCTTTTCTTTATACTTTCATCTATTATTGTTTTCTTTATAATTTCATCTATTATTCTTTCTTTATTTTTCATCTATTATTTTTTCTTTATAATTTGATCTATTATTCTTTCTTTTATATTTCATCCATTATTCTTTCTTTTATATTCATCTATTATTCTTTTCTTTATCCTCTTTAATCTTTATTATTTGTCTATTATTCTTTCTTTATACTTTCATATATTATTCTTTCTTTTATATTTTCATCTATTATTCTTTCTTTTTTATACTTTCATCTATTCTTTCTTTTATAATTTGATCTACTATTCTTTCTTTTATATTTTCATCTATAATTCTTTCTTTTATATTTTCATCTATTATTCTTTTCTTTATACTTTCATCTATTATTCTTTCTTTATAGTTTGATCTACTATTCTTTCTTTATATTTTCATCTATTATTCTTTCTTTATATTTTCATCTATTATTCTTTCTTTATACTTTCATCTATTATTCTTTCTTTATAATTTGATCTACTATTCTTTCTTTATATTTTCATCTATTATTCTTTCTTTTATACTTTCATCTATTATTCTTTCTTTTTAGTTTTGATCTATTATTCTTTCTTTATATTTCTTCCTATTATTCTTTCTTTTATACTTTCTCTATTATTCTTTCATTATAATTTTCTACTATTCTTTCTTTGTACTTTTATTATTTCTTTTATATTTCACATATTATTCTTTCTTTATATTTTCATCTATTCTTTCTTTATTCTATTATTCTTTATACTTTCATGTATTATTCTTTCTTTATACTTTCATCTACTATACTTTCTTTTATAATTTGATCTATTATTCTTTTTTTATATTTTCATCTATTATTCTTTCTTTTTATTTTCATTTTATTCTTTCTTTATACTTTTTTATATTTTCTTTATAATTTGGTCTACTATTCTTTCTTTTATTTTCATGTTATTCTTTTCTATTATCTACTATTCTTTTATTTTAATTTATTATTCTTTCTTTATATTTTTCTTCCGATTATTCTTTTTTTTATACTTTCTATCTATTATTCTTTTTTATAATTTAATCTACTATTCTTTCTTTATATTTACATCTATTATTCTTTCTTTTATATTTCATTCATTATTTTTTCTTTATAATTTGATCTGTTATTCTTTCTTTATATTTTTATCTATTATTCTTTCTTTATACTTTCATCTCATTCTTTCTTTATAGTTTTATACCTTCTTTCTTTATCTATTATTCTTTCTTTTTTATAATTTGATCTGCTATTCTTTCTTTTATATTTTCATCTATTATTCTTTCTTTATAATGTCATCTATTATTCTTTCTTTATAATTTAATCTACTATTCTTTCTTTATACTTTCATCTATTATTCTTTCTTTATAATTTGATCTACTATTCTTTCTTTATATTTTCATCTATTATTCTTTTCTTTATGCTTTCATCTATTATTCTTTCTTTATAATTCCATCTACTAGCTTCTTTCTTTATACTTTCATCTATTATTCTTTTTTTTACTATTCTTTCTTTATACTTTCATTATTTCTTTTCTTTTATAATTTATCTCTATTCTTTCTTTATACTTTCATCTATTTTCTTTTTTATATTTTTCTTCTTTCTATTATTCTTATTCTTTTTTATACTTCCATCTACTATTCTTTCTTTTATAATTTCATCTACTATTCTTTCTTTTTTATTTTTCATGTATTATTCTTTTCTTTTATACTTTCATTATTATTCTTTCTTTATAATTTAATCCACTTATTCTTTCTTTATACTACATCTATTATTCTTTTCTTTTATATTTTCACTTTCTATTATTCTTTCTAATTCTTTCATTTTATTATTATTCTTTCTTTATAATTTCATCTATTATTCTTTCTTTTATACTTTCATCTATTATTCTTTCTTTATATTTTCATCTATTATTCTTTATACTTTCATCTATTATTCTTTCTTTTATAATTTTGATCTACTATTCTTTCTTCATATTTTCATCAACTTATTCTTTCTTTGCCATTCATCTGTATTCTTTTTTACTTTCACTATTAATCTTTCTTTATTATTTGATCTACTATTCTTTCTTTATACTTTCATCTATTATTCTTTCTTTATATTTTCATCTATTATTCTTTCTTTATACTTTCATTTATTATTCTTTCTTTATAATTTGATCTACTATTCTTTCTTTATATTTTCATCTATTATTCTTTCTTTATATTTTCATCTATTATTCTTTCTTTATACTTTCATTTATTATTCTTTCTTTATAATTTGATCTACTATTCTTTCTTTATACTTTCATCTATTATTCTTTCTTTATATTTTCATCTATTATTCTTTCTTTATACTTTCATTTATTATTCTTTCTTTATAATTTGATCTACTATTCTTTTCTTTTATATTTTCATCTATTATTCTTTCTTTATACTTTGATCTATTATTCTTTCTTTATAATTTTCATCTATTATTCTTTTCTTTATATTTTTCTATCTATTATTCTTTCTTTTATACTTTCATCTATTATTCTTTCTTTATACTTTCATCTATTATTCTTTCTTTATTTTTTCATCTATTATTCTTTCTTTATATTTTCATCTATTATTCTTTCTTTATATTTTCATCTATTATTCTTTCTTTTATATTTTCATCTCTATTCTTTCTTTATATTTTTTATTCTTTCTTTATTTTTCATCTATTATTCTTTCTTTATATTTTCATCTATTATTCTTTCTTTATAATTTCATCTATTATTCTTTCTTTATATTTTCATCTATTATTCTTTCTTTATATTTTCATCTATTATTCTTTCTTTATAATTTCATCTATTATTCTTTCTTTATACTTTCATCTATTATTCTTTCTTTTATATTTTTCATCTATTATTCTTTCTTTTATTTTCATCTATTCTTTCTTTATACTTTCATCTATTATTTCTTTCTTTATATTTTCATCTATTATTCTTTTTTATATTTTTCATCTATTATTCTTTCTTTATATTTTCATCTATTATTCTTTTTTATAATTTGATCTATTATTCTTTCTTTATATTTTCATCTATTATTCTTTCTTTATATTTTCATCTATTATTCTTTCTTTTATATTTTCATCTATTATCTTTCTTTTATTTTCATCTATTATTCTTTCTTTATACTTTTTCATCTATTATTCTTTCTTTATTTTCATCTATTATTCTTTCTTTATAGTTTGATCATCTATTATTCTTTCTTTATCTTTTCATCTATTATTCTTTCTTTATATTTTTGATCTACTATTCTTTCTTTATATTTTCATCTATTATTCTTTCTTTATATTTTCATCTATTATTCTTTCTTTATATTTTCATCTATTATTCTTTCTTTATATTTTCATCTATTATTCTTTCTTTATACTTTCATCTATTATTCTTTCTTTATAATTTGATCTACTATTCTTTCTTTATATTTTCATCTATTATTCTTTCTTTATACTTTCATCTATTATTCTTTCTTTATAATTTGATCTACTATTCTTTCTTTATATTTTCATCTATTATTCTTTCTTTATACTTTCATCTATTATTCTTTCTTTTTATTTTCATCTATTATACTTTCTTTATATTTTCATCTATTATTCTTTCTTTATAATTTCATCTATTATTCTTTCTTTTATATTTTTCATCTACTATTCTTTCTTTATATTTTCATCTATTATTCTTTCTTTTACTTTATCTTTTCTTTCTAATTTATCTATTATTCTTTTCTTTATATTTTTCATCTATTATTCTTTCTTTTATTTTCATCTATTATTCTTTCTTTTATAGTTTTCATCTATTATTCTTTCTTTATATTTTCATCTATTATTCTTTCTTTATAGTTTTTCTTTATATTTTTCATCTATAATTTGATCTCTGTTCTTTCTTTATATTTTCATCTATTATTCTTTCTTTATACTTTTTCATTTATTCTTTTTCTATACTGTTTTATTATTCTTCTTTATACTTTCATCTATTATTCTTTCTTTATACTTTCGTCTAATATGTTTTCTTTATAATTTGATCTATGATTCTTTCTTTATATTTTATTTATTATTCTTTCTTTTGTAATTTGATCTATTATTCTTTCTTTTCATCTATTATTCTTTCTTTCTTTTATCCTATTATTCTTTTCTTTATACTTTCGTCTAATATTCTTTCCTTCTTTTTCATCATTTATTCTTTCTTTATACTTTCGCTATTATTCTTTCTTTATACTTTCATCTATATTCTTTTATTTCATCCTTATTCTTTCTTTATACTTTCATTGTATTCTTTCTTTGTAATTTGATCTACTATTCTTTCTTTTAATTTTCATCTATTATTCTTTCTTTATACTTTCGTCTATTATTCTTTCTTTATACTTTCATCTCTTATTCTTTCTTTATACTTTCATCTATTATTCTTTCTTTATATTTTCATCTACTATTCTTTCTTTATTTTCATCTCATTATTCTTTTTATATTTTTCATTTATTATTCTTTCTTTATAATTTGATCTACTATTCTTTCTTTATAGTTTGATCTACTATCTTTCTTTTATATTTTTCATCTATTATTCTTTCTTTATAGTTTTAATTTTATTATTCTTTCTTTATATTTTGATCTATTATTCTTTCTTTTTATACTTTCATCATATTCTTTTTCTTTATAGTTTTCATCTATTATTCTTTCATATTTTCAGTTTCTTTTCTTTATGTTTGATTTGATCGTCTTTTTCTTTTTTCATCTCATTATTCTTTCTTTATAGTTTCATTGGTATTCTTTCTTTTTATAATTTTACTCAATATTCTTTCTTTATAGTTTGATCTACTATTCTTTTATTTTTCATCTATTTCTTTCTTTATATTTTCATCTATTATTCTTTTCTTTATATTTTCATTTATTATTCTTTCTTTTATATTTTAGTCTATTATTCTTTTCTTTATATTTTCATCTATTATTCTTTCTTTATGTTTTATTCTATTCTTTTCTTTATATTTTCTGCATCTATTATTCTTCTTTATACTTTCATCTATTATTCTTTCTTTATAATTTGATCTATTATTCTTTCTTTATACTTTCATCTATTTTTCTTTCTTTATAGTTTGATCTACTATTTTTCTTTATATTTCATCTATTATCTTCTTCATATTTTCATTCATTATTCTTTCTTTATACTTTCATCTATTATTCTTTCTTTATAATTTCATCTATTATTCTTTCTTTATATTTTCATCTATTATTCTTTCTTTATATTTTTCATCTATTATTCTTTTCTTTATATTTTCATCTATTATTCTTTCTTTTATATTTTCATCTATTATTCTTTCTTTTATACTTTTTATTATTTTCTTTATAATTTTGATCTATTATTCTTTTTTTATATTTTTCATCTATTATTCTTTCTTTATATTTTCATCTATTATTCTTTCTTTTTTTTCATTATTCTTTCTTTTTTATTTTGATCTACTATTCTTTCTTTTATATTTTCATCTATTATTCTTTCTTTATATTTTCATCTATTATTCTTTCTTTATAATTTCATCTACTATTCTTTCTTTATATTTTCATCTATTATTCTTTCTTTATACTTTTCTATTATTCTTTCTTTTATATTTTTCATCTATTCTTTCTTTTATTCTATTTTTCTTTATATTTTCATCTATTATTCTTTCTTTATACTTTTATACTTGATCTATTATTCTTTTCTTATAGTTTCATCTATTATTCTTTTCTTTATATTTTCATCTATTTTCTTTATATTTTCTATTATTCTTCTTATATTTTCATTATTTCTTTATACTTTCATTTATTATTCTTTCTTATATACTTTGATCTACTATACTTCTTTTATATTTTCATCTATTATTCTTTTCTTTATACTTTCATCATCTCTTTTATTCTTTTTTCTTTATATTTTCATCTAATATTCTTTCTTTATATTTCCATCTATTATTCTTCTGTATAGTTTTCTTTATTCTTCTTTATATTTTCATCCTATTATTCTTTTCTTATATTTTCATCTATTATTCTTTTCTTATAATTTGGTCTACTATACTTTCTTTATTTTTCATCTATTTACTTTCTTTTATATTTTCATTTATTATTCTTTCTTTATATTTTCATCTATTATTCTTTTTCTTATTTTTCATCTATTATTCTTTCTTTATACTCACTTTCATGTATTATTCTTTCTTATACTTCTTTCATTTATTATACTTTCTTTATACTTTCATTTATTATTCTTTCTTTCTTTTATCTACTATTCTTTCTTTATATTTTCATTATTATTCTTTCTTTATAATTCATCTATTATTCTTTCTTTTTACTTTTTCATCTATTATTCTTTCTTTTATTTTTTCACTATTCTTTATTCTTTTCTTTATATTTTCTTTCTTTTATTTTTCTTTATTCTTTCTTTATTTCATTTATTATTCTTTCTTTATAATTTGATCTACTATTCTTTCTTTATATTTTCATCTATTATTCTTTCTTTATACTTTCATCTATTATTCTTTCTTTATACTTTCATTTATTATTCTTTCTTTATATTTGATCTACTATTCTTTCTTTATACTTTCATCTATTATTCTTTCTTTATATTTTCATCTATTATTCTTTCTTTTCTTTATATTTTTCTTTCTATTATTCTTTCTTTTATAATTTGATCTACTATTCTTTCTTTATATTTTCATCTATTATTCTTTCTTTTATATTTTCATCTATTATTCTTTCTTTATACTTTCATCTATTATTCTTTCTTTATACTTTTCTACTATTCTTTCTTATACTTTCATTATATTCTTTCATTTTATTTTTCTTTCTTTATTTTTTTCATCTATTATTCTTTCTTTATATTTTCATCTATTATTCTTTCTTTATTTTCATCTATTATTCTTTCTTTATATTTTCATCTATTATTCTTTCTTTAACTTTTTATCTATTTTCATTTATTATTCTTTCTTTATATTTTCATCTATTATTCTTTCTTTATATTTTCATCTATTATTCTTTCTTTATACTTTCATTTATTATTCTTTCTTTATAATTTCATCTATTATTCTTTCTTTTTTATTTTCATCTATTATTCTTTCTTTATACTTTTCTATTATTCTTTCTTTATACTTTTATATTATTTCTTTTATATTTTCATCTATTATTCTTTTCTTTTATTTTTTCATCTACTATTCTTTCTTTTATATTTTCATCTATTATTCTTTCTTTTATATTTTCATCTATTATTTCTTTCTTTTATACTTTCATCTATTATTCTTTTCTTTATATTTTGATCTACTATTCTTTCTTTATATTACTTTATATCTATTCTTTCTTTTTATTTTCATCTATTATTCTTTCTTTATACTTTCATCTATTATTCTTTCTTTATAATTCGATCTATTATTCTTTCTTTTATATTTCATCTATTATTCTTTCTTTTCTTTTCATTCATTATTCTTTCTTTATATTTTCATCTATTATTTTTCTTTATATTTTCATCTACTATTCTTTCTTTATATTTCATTCATTATTCTTTTCTTTTATATTCTTTCATCTATTATTCTTTCTTTTTTATATTTTGATCTACTATTTTTCTTTATATTTTCATTTATTATTCTTTCTTTTATACTTTCATCTATTATTCTTTCTTTATAATTTTTATTCTTTCTTTTATATATTCTTTCATATAGTTTATCTACTATTCTTTCTTTATATTTTTCTATTATTCTTTCTTTATATTTAATCTATTATTTTTCTTTATATTTTCATCTATTATTCTTTTTCTTTATACTTTCATCTATTATTCTTTTTCTTTATAATTTATCTACTATTCTTTCTTTTATATTTTCATCTATTATTCTTTCTTTATACTTTCATTCAATATTCTTTTCTTATAGTTTGATCTCTTATTCTTTTTATATTTTTTCATCTTTTCTTTTCTTTATTCTTTCTGTTTTGATTACTATTTTTCTTTTTATATTTTCATCTATTCTTCTTTCTTTCATTCATTATTTTTTTATTACTTCTTTTTTATGCTTTCATCTATTCTTTTTCTTTATATTTTCATCTATTCTTTTCTTTATATTTTCATACTTTTCTTTATAATTTGATCTACTGTTTTTCTTTATACTCATCTATTATTCACCTTTTATAGTTTCATTATTATTTTCTTTATAATTTGATCTGTATTCTTTTTTTTATACTTTCATCTATTATTCTTTCTTTATATTTTCATCTATTATTCTTTCTTTCTTTCATCTTATTATTCTTTCTTTAATATGATTCTATCTTTTTTTTATAATTTGGTCTACTATTCTTTCTTTTATATTTTCATCTATTATTCTTTCTTTATAGTTTCCATCTACTATTCTTTCTTTATCTTTTCATCTACTATTCTTTCTTTATATTTTCATCTACTTTCATTTATTCTTTCTTTATATTTTTCATCTATTATTCTTTCTTTATAATTTGATCTATTATTCTTTCTTTTATACTTTCATCTATTATTCTTTCTTTATATTTTGATTTTATTATTCTTTCTTTAAACATTTTCATTATTATTCTTTTTTTATAATTTCATCTATTATTCTTTCTTTATATTTTCATCTATTATTCTTTCTTTATAGTTTGATCTACTATTCTTTTTCTTTATAATTTCATCTATTATTCTTTCTTTATATTTTCATCTATTATTCTTTCTTTTATATTTCATCTATTTATTACTATTCTTTTTTATATTTTTTCATTATCTTTCAGTATTCTTTCTTTATAGTTTTTTATTCTTACACTTCATCTAATATTCTTTCTTTTATATTTTCATCTATTATTCTTTCTTTATAGTTTCATCTATTATTCTTTTTTTATATTTTCATCTATTATTCTTTTCTTTATATTTTTCATCTATCTATATCTTTCTTTATTTTTTTTAATCTACTATTCTTTCTTTTATTTTTCTCTATTATTCTTTTCTTTTTTCATTTTATATTCTATCTATTCTTTTTTTTAATAATTTCTTTTTTACTTTCATGTATTATTCTTTCTTTATACTTTTTTTTTTTTCATCTATTATTCTTTCTTTATACTTTCATCTATTATTCTTTCTTTATATTTTCATCTATTATTCTTTCTTTTATATTTTCATCTATTCTTTCTTTATATTTATTATTCTTTCTTTATAATATTTCATTTATTATTCTTCTTTTATTTTTTATCTATTATTCTATTTCTTTTTTATATTTTTCATCTATTATTCTTTCTTTATATTTTCATCTATTATTCTTTTCTTTATATTTTCATTTATTATTCTTTCTTTATATTTTTCATCTATTATTCTTTTTATATTTTCATCTATTATTCTTTCTTTATATTTTTCATCTATTATTCTTTTTTATACTTTCATCTATTATTCTTTCTTTTATATTCTTTTGATTTGACTATTCTTTCTTTTATTATTCTTTCTTTATATTTATTATTCTTTCTTTTATACTTTCATCTATTATTCTTTCTTTATAATTTCTATTCTTTATTGTATTTTCATTTATTATTTCATCTATTATTCTTTTTTTTTATATTTTCATCTATTATTCTTTCTTTTTTTACTATTATTTTCATCTATTATTCTTTCTTTATACTTTCATCTATTATTCTTTCTTTATAGTTTTGATCTACTATTCTTTCTTTTGATCTACTTTTTTTTTTATTTTCATTTATTATTTCTTTTTTTTCATCTATTATTTTCTTTTCTTTCTATTATTCTTTCTTTTATTTTCATCTATTATTCTTTCTTTATACTTTCATCTATTATTCTTTCTTTATAATTTGATCTACTATTCTTTCTTTATATTTTCATCTATTATTCTTTCTTTATACTTTCATCTATTATTCTTTCTTTTTATTTTTCTATTATTCTTTTTTTTATATTTCATCTATTCTTTCTTTTATAATTCCATCTATTATTCTTTCTTTATATTTTCATCTTTATTTTTATTCTTTCTTTATTTTTTTCATCTATTATTCTTTCTTTATATTTTCATCTATTATTCTTTCTTTATATTTCATCTATTATTCTTTTCTTTTATACTTTCATTTATTATTCTTTCATTTATC